GCCTGCTGCTGTGGCTGGCGAGTTACTCGGACCTCTTCTCGCGCCCCTGCAGCGTCACCGGCAAGCTGCTGTGCTGGGAGCCCGGCAGCGCGGTGCCGTTGCCACCCGTCGTGCGGCCGTTCAGGTGGGGGCGGGCAGCCGCCTGTGGCGCGGGGCGATTCGGGGGCGCCTGCAGGGCCGCCACTGGCTGTGGCCCTCAGGGTCGCGTGGCGTCTTGTGCGACGGGGGCGTAGAGGCAGGGCGGTGCAGGGGGTGCCGGCAAGGCTGCTGGCGCTGCTGCTGCCACAGGGCAAAGCCTGGGTGGGCGTGCAGCCCCTTCACCAGGCTTGCTGGCTCTCACCCATCACGCCAGCTTGTCCAAAGCTCTCCGATCTTGCCGCAGAGCCTTTCACGCCTTCAAATCTGCTGCACCCTGCCCCGACCGCAAACCAGGCTCACGCGTGAGCAGCTGGCCGTAGCGGCGGGCGACCCCTCCCTGCGGGCCGCCTACCATGCAGCCACCGCGCCCCCGGGCTCGCTGCAGCTGCAGGCGCCCGTGGCAGGCCCGCGGCCGGCGTGGGCGACCGGCGACGAATCCGACATGCTGCGGCTTCTTGGTTGAGGGCCGCGGCTGCAGGTGCTGAGTGCGGCGGCCGACCGCAGCGCTGCGCCCAAGGAGTTGGCCTAGCAGCTGCATGGCGACATCAAACGCGGTTGCTGTAGGCGTGGGCCTATTGATGTGTAATGGGTGCGACTCGGCTCACCCAGGACGACAACCCTTTCTTGGCAGCAATGCTTAGGTTTGCAAGGGTTTACAGGCTTGAAAGGAAGTAGTCATGGCCGGGTTTGTCCTCAACGCAGTGGCATGCTGGGAGGAGGGGAAGGGAGGACCCAAGTCGAAAAGCCATCCAAGCAATGCAGGCAATGAGGAAAGCATGGGCAAGCCGCACATCCACGCCATGTGTGCATGCAAGTGCAGCACATGCGCGCACAACTGCAGCGGCGCAAGGCGGCAGGCGGCGGCGCATGAAGGGGGAGCGCGTGCGGCATGGGTGCGGCGGCGTCACATCAGCCGCGGCGGGCAGGGCGGCGTAAGGAGGGGGGATGACAGGGGGTTGGCCAATGCGAGGTCATTGCAAGCCCTGCCAAGGCGCACACATCATCGGTCCGCAGGTCAAAGGCAGCAGCGCCAAGGTAGCGGCGCCCACAGTGTTCTGATTGCAGGATGTCCACTCAACCCCCACACGCATGCGGGACGGCCGCACTCAAGTCATCATGCTTTTATTGGTCAAAGGCAGTTCCGCCGCCATGCCCCCATATTGCACAACCGTCGACGCGCAAGAGCGCGCGCACGCGCTGTGTCTCTGTCAGCCGTCGCGAGCCGCTTCAGCAGTGCAGATCATCTTAGCCGCCTGTGCCCCGCCAGGCAGCGGTGCGCCGAGACCACCTGCCCTGGACGGTCCAGGGCTGGGGCTCGGCGCACTTCGTCTGGCATGCCGTGGGGAGCTTGGGGCCGAGCCGCCAGCCGTAGGCCGCGTGCGTTGGGTGGCGGCGCCGACTGCGTGCGCCCGCTGAATTCGGGGCCGCAGGGTCTACGGAATGCGGCCGCATGGTCAAAGGTGCGGCGCCAGGGGCAAGCCGCGCGCGATGAAGGCAAAAAACCGATACTTGAAGGCAAAGAGCGCGAGTCAAAGCCCAGCTGGGTGGGGTGCGACGCGCGTACCGCGGCGGCGCGGCGGCGCGGCAGCCCCGACCCTTCGTCATGCCACAACGCATGCATTCAACTCCGAGCGCGGCGGTCGCCGAGCCCAAACATCTCCCACAACACAACGCAGGGCAGGCGCCGCGGCGCCGCGGCCGGAGGAGCGGGCCGGGGCTGGCGCGAGCCGCCGTCTCTTCCCAGGGGGGCCTCGGCACTGTGCAGGGCTCCCTGAACCACAGCGCTCATGGCGCCTTCCCGCTGAGCCCGCTGCTGGTGGGGGTCCCCTCCTCCGCAGGCGTCGCGCTCGGCACCTCCTGCTTAGTCTCGCTGCTGCTGGCCTGGTTGGGGTGAGCTGGGTCTGCCTGCGGCGCCGGCGCCCCGCCGCCCAAGGACGCGAGAGGCGCCCCGTCCTGACGCACCGAGCCCGCAGCCGCAAACGCCGCCGCGGCGTTGGCCTCCGCCTCCCCGCCGCCGCCGCCGATGGCCGGGGTGGCGTCCGGGCCGCCGCGGCAGCCGCCTGCCTCAGCGCCGGCTTCTGGCGCAGAGAGCTGCCCCACGGCTGCGGCCACCATTGCGGCGCCGCCGGGCCGCCCTAACATCGAAGCCAGCATCGCCTGCAGCGCGTCCGACTCCACGCCGCCGCCGGACGCCGCGGCCGCGGCAGCCGCCGCGATCATCGCGCGCGTGCCCCCGTTGGGCGCCGCCGGGTCGCCGGCGCGCGCTGCGGGCGCGCCCGCCGCGCCTAGGCCGTTTCCCTCATTCGCCACGAGAGCCAGCATATCCAGCCCCCACGCCCCGCCGCCACCGCCGCCGCCGCTGCCGCCGTTATCCTCGCCCTCGCCGCCCGCGCCCGGCGAGCCCTCCTCGCCGCCGCCGCGGCCGCGGCCCCACGCGCGCCGCGCGGCCTCATCCTCCTCGCTGTCCCCCTCCGACGACCCCGCGCGCCGCTTGCGCGCGCCGCTGCCGCCCGCGGCGCCGTTGGCGGCCGGGCCGAGCGGCGTGCCCGTCACAGGGTCCCGCTTCCGCCGCCGCGCGTTGTGCTTGAGCAGGCGGTTGCGGCAGGAGCGCTTTGCGCCGTCGAACTCGTCGACGGAGTGGAAGCGCCCGCACTGCTGGCAGAAGCGCTGCGGCTTGTCGTCGCGCATGATGGCCGTCACCTTGAGATGGTACTCGCAGATCTTGTAGCGCTGGTGATACTCGCGCAGCCTGCGCCGCGGAGGGGTTTCGGGCGTTATTGCAGAATGAGGGGTTTCGGTCTATTTGGTGTGGAGGCTCTATTGTGCGCATGTGTGTGTGTGTGTGTGAGATATTCACTATACGAAAGAGGCTTTCGGCAGTTGCAGGGGCTCGAGCGGGACGTGGTTGGGCAAGGAGCGTGGCGCGAGCTGTGGGGTGCGGGGGAAGGTTCCCCGGGCAGCAGGGGGTGGGGTGGGGGTGAAAGGGGCGTGGGTGCGCGGCGTGAGGCGGCCTGCGCTGCTCTTCGCCGGCGGCGGCGCTGACGGGCGGCCCGGGCGGTCCCAAGGGGGAGTGACGACGCATGACGTCATTCTCACGTCGAGAGGTCGCAGAAGCAGCCGTCCACCTGGCACACGCCCTTGTGGCCCCAGCCGGCCCGCATGGGGGCCCGCTGCGGCGCCGCGCCGCCGCCGCTAGTGCCGCCGCCGTTGCTCAGAGGCGCGGCGCGTGGCTGCTGTGGAGGAGGGGGGCGCGTGGCAGGCAGGCGGAAGCGAGGTTGCGGCCGGCAGCAGTGAGAGACGGGTCCAGACGCACAAACACGCAAAAATCTGCTTGCAAGATGGGTGCAGCGGCGGCCGAGCTCCCGCAACCCGTGAAGCTCGGGTGCCCAGCAGACCGAGGCACGGCAGCAGCACGCCTGCCCCTGCGCCCTCACCTTGGGCCCGAGCTGGGCAGCCGCGTCCTTGACATCCGCCGCGTCCCCCTCGCCCGCCGGCCTGGGCGTCCCCAGCGACGTGGGCAGCTCGAGAGCGCCTGCGTGCAGTGGCGACGCGGCCTCTGCGGTGCACGCCTCCACCTTGACCCTTGGCTGCTCGTCCGCCGGGGCCCCAGCCGCTGCCGGCTCGTAGCGGAAGGAGCTGCCCCCCGGGCTCCCTGCGCCCGCGGGGCCCGCCCCCGCGGCGGTCGCGCCGTCGCAAGCGGCCGAGCCGCCAAAGGGCGCGGCGGGCACCGCGGGCGTCGCGGGCGCGGGCGCCGGCGCGTCCTCGCGTGACGTGTGCTCGCCCCGCTGCTCGCCCGGCGGCTGCAGCGGCTGCGGCGGCGGCGCGCGCGGGGCGTGCTGGCGCGAGCCGTGGAGCTGCTGCTGCGCGTGCGCCAGCACTGTGCTCGCGAGCTGCTGCAGGTGCGGCGGCAGGGCGGCCATGAGGGCCGACAGGTCCGGCGCCCCTCCCGAGGCGCCGGCGCCCTGCAGGAGGCCCGCCAGCGCCTGGAGCTGCGGCGGCAGCGCCTGGGGCTGCGCCTGCGGCAACGCCTGGGGCTGCGGCTGCGCCCTTGGCTGCGGCTGCGGCTGCGGCTGCGGCTGCGGCTGCGGCTGCTGCGGGACCTGCTGCTCAGGGGGCACTTGCTGCTGCTGCTGTTGCTGCTGCTGCTGCTGCTCCTGCTGCTGCTGCTCCTGCTGCTGCTGCGGCGGCTGCAGAACCGCGCCCGCGCCCGCGC